CGTCCTTCTATCTGACACGAATGTTCCATGCGATTGATTTGCAACAGGAAATGGACAAGTTGCACTGACAGACGTTGGTTACGTTTCGTCTTTGCAAATTTCTCGAGCAGGTCTGTAGCGATCATCATATCAAGGCGCATCAATGCCCTTGAGTCTCTAAGATTCTCCTCGGGTGCATTAGGGCCGATTGCTTCGCTGAAGCCATGTCTGTGCCGCGCGAACGTCGCGCCATGATCCACCGACCGCTCTTATGCAATGTTGCCCCCATTCTCGGAGTGTCTGGACACTCGGTATATCGAGCAAGTTCTGATCTTGATTATTTTCAACACTTCTCCAGTTTATGTCAATTTGGTTGGCGCGAAACGGCCGCCATGTAGGGTCGCTGTGACCATTCGGCCCCCCACCGCCATCTCCGTCTGGGTCGCCATCGCCGCCAGGCCCCCCTGGGGGGCCTCCAGGCGGCTTGGACTTACCCGTCTCATCAAGCTGCAACGCAACAATCATGCCTGCGCTGGGGGCTGCACTCTGATCGTCTCTCCGATCGTCGTCGCGGCCTCCCGGGCCTGCACCTACTTCACCAGAAACGGCCGGGCCGACTGCGAAAGGAAGGTGCCCGGGCAAGCCGAGGTTGCAAGGGTGGTCCGATATCTTCGCATTGAAAGGGCCATGTCCAGGGTTCGCCCCTCGGGCGCCCCCCCGCGCTGGACCTTCGCTTGCCCCCGAGGTCTTCTCTGCAGCCGGCCCGGGGATGAAATGCGATTTTGCAACAGGGAGCGCTGGCATCGACGGAGCAGTCAGCATCGACATCTCGCCAAGATCTGACTTTTCTGAATTGAAAACTGGCGCGCCCATAATATCGGCGAGATTGCCCATCTGGCGAGGCCGAGTGTCTCGGTGCCTTCCCATCAGGATCGTCGCCTGCACTCTGAGCGTCAGGCATGCCTCGGGGTTCTTCCCTCTTCTCGCAGCCACCCTGATATCCTAACGTTTTTCCACAAGCGAATTCATCACAGCGTTTGGTGCCCATATCCAGGTGGTCATTGCACGCGCGCTTCAAACGACCCTCGCATACCTCGGTCGAAGGTTGCGCGCAAATGCGACAGGCCTGATTCGGAGCGCCCGGTCGCGCTCGGGCTTGCGAAGCGCCAGGCGCCCGAGTAGGGCGAGCAGCGATTGGGCGAGGAGGCAGCTCAACATGCGCCGGCTGCGCCGGCGTTGAATCAACCTCTTTTCCGACCCGTCGCTGCTCAAGTTCAGACCGCAACCTCCTGTTTTCCTTGTCCATGGCCCGAGTTGCAAGACCGTTGTTTCTTATCTGTTCTCTTGCGTTCCCCTTCAGACGGCCCGAGGCTGCGGCCATTCCTTTATGGCCCTCTTCTCTGGTTGCCTGGGTCTTCTGTTCTTGTTCTCGAAGGGCTCGCAGAGCCTCAGATTTCACTCTTTCGGCCTCGAATCTAACAGCTTCAACTCGATTGCGGAGCTCCTGATTTTCTCGCGCCGCCTGTTCCCGGGCATCTCTCTCTCTCTCTCTCTCTCTCTCTCTCTCTCTCTCTCTCTCTCTCTCTCTCTCTCTCTCTCTCTATATATATATATCTCCTTCCCTCCTCGCAGCATCAGCTTTCTCTGTGCACTCAGCTTTCCCTCTTTCGGCCTTCTGCTGAGAGTCGGACGCCAGCTTTTCAGCTATGCTCTGGGTTCTCAGTATTTCAATTTCCCCTTGAGCAAGACGCTGGCGTGCTTCGTCTGTGACGCCCGCTGCGTTGGCCTCAGCATGCTGCATCAGTTACTGTTTGTTTCCACAATGATGGTTTTCTCGTGCTCCATCTTTTGCGCAATTGCCTGTCTCTCAGCCTCGGAAACCGCAAGCTCTCGTTGAGCCTCCTCGGCTGCCCTCTCATTTTCCTGCGACTCAGAGATAATCTGTTGTATATGCGCACTCGCAGCCCCCAGCTGCTCTCGACCCTGTCTGTTTCTTCCCGCCCACTCTTGAATCGCGAGACAATGGCAACTGTGCTCTTCCATCGCGACGCACTCTTCACAAAGCCATGCTAGGCTACATTTGGGGCAAACATTCGAACATTGAGAACACGCTGGCCGTCGACATGAACCCCCCAGTTCGCGCGCCCCCCCCCGGGGCGCCGATTCTCCGCCCGAGCGGGGCACGTTGGCTCGGCGTTCCAGCAGCCCCCCCGCATCGAGAAGCTGCGGGCACTTCTCTTCGATGACATTCGCGGCGAATCAAAGGCATTAAACCCTCTAGAACTGGAACGCCCAGCCCTGGGGGCCTTACTGGAGCGCCCCCTTCCGCTGCGCAGGGTAGGCGTGTGTTGTTCTCTCGTTCTTACGCCCCTCCTGATGGCGTCAACGTCCATGCCCTTTTGTCAGGTCGTCTCTTTCGCCCTGCATTACGAGCTCATCAAGTTCTGGTACTCCATCTCTGTCTGCTCTGGGCAATGAGAAGTCTGGTCTGTCAAAACCCTGCAATGAGGGCGAGGTATTCAAGTCATCATCCTCACCCTTCGGTTTCTTCGTTAGCGGATTGGGAGTCATGCATGTAATTCCTCGCGTGTTTATCACTGCGCGCACTGCGTCGGGGCAGCTGGATATCGGCTGCACCGATGAGCATTCACCTTGATTTGGGCTTCCTCCGTCTTCGAAGTCTCGTCCGAATCGAGGATGTTTTTTCTGACTTGCCTCTATCATTACACGGTCAGGAGCGAGACCGACACAGAGACCAGGGAGAGGATCGAGATGACGCGACGGACCAGGTGAGGCGTGGAATCGGGCATATCGAATGGGAGCTATCCCCTTCAGATTGTAAATCGCTCACATCCTCACTCTGTCCACACAACCTATGCTGCACTGCGTGCTCGGCGCCCAGACTATCGGCGCCTGACGTTTCGATGGGGATATGATCCAACAACCTCTCGGCGTCGAGATCTGTCGATCGATGGCTAAAAGCCAGGGCGCGCCGCCACCAACTCAGAGGGTCGGTCCCTCGGCGGATTTTTTGTGGCTGCGCCATACCTTCCGCTCGAGCGTTGCTCTCTGGATCTCGTCACTGAATCAACCAGTGAATCCCCTTTTGTTATGTCGAGCACAGTCTCCGATGCCTTCTTACTGGGAAGGCTCAGAGGGTTTCGTCGTCTCGTTGAGGCGCTTATACATGCGCTGCGCTCGGCAGGTCTTCGATCTTCTGTTCGCCCGAGCCTTCCTTCTTGAGATCCCATGCTCTGCGAAGCGAACGGCTGTGCCGTCGTTTCGGTTGATAAGCACACGTTTGCTTGGATGTTCATAATTCCTGCAAGGTGTCCCGATGATATCTCATGGTCAATGGGCTCCGCCGGTGACATGAATGAGAAGGGATAACGCCGTCAAGCATACACTAAGGTAACACTGGAGGGAGGAGGCCGGCCCGCCGGCCGACGCACGCGCGCGCGCCGCAGGCTCGCTCCTTTTCCGTTTCCCTAGAGCCAAAGTATGTAGCTGCGGGAGCAGAAGAATTCAGTCAGCACAGCAGACGGACAGCGCGTGCAAGGAGAGAGAGCAGGCAGAGCGAAATAATGGTGGTGCGGAAGGGGCGCATTGACTGCATCAGCAGCAGCCACAGGTGTATCCTCATCAACATCATCATCATCATCATCATCATCATCATCATCATCAGCATCACCATCATCATCATCATCATCATCATCATCATCATCATCATCATCATCATCATCATCATCATCATCATCATCATCATACTCATCACCAGCATCAGCATCAGCATCAGCATCATCCTCATCAGCTGAAGCACCAGCACCAATCATCAACAGCAGCAGCATCGCCAGCATCATCAGCATCATCGGCATCATCATCATCAACCGCAAAATTACCATGATCGTAATTATCATCATCAGAAGCATCAGCCACAGCAGCATCAAGTTTATCAGCATCAGCAGCATCGACATCACCTTACTAATCATCCTCATCATCATCAGCAGCATCAGCAGCAGCATCGTCATTACACCACCATCATCATTGTCATCTGCATCGCCATCCTCCTCACCATCCGCATGATCAGCATCATCATCATCACCTCCACCATCACTGGCATCATCATCGTCAGCATCATCAGCGTCGAAAACCAACATCATCATCAGCATCATCGACATCATAATTAGCAGCAGCATCATCATCATCAGCAGCATCATCCTCATCACCATCATCATCAGCATCACCACCAGATTGCAATCAGCATCATCATCACCATCATCATCAGCGTCAGCATCAGCATCAGCATCCATCCCGTTCATCATCACCATCACCATCGCCATGATCGTCAGCAGCATCATCAACATCATCAATATCATAATCGTGGTAATAATCACCGACATCATCAGCAGCATCATCATCAGCAGCAGCACCCCCATCATCCTCATCTCCACCATCATCACCATCAGCATCATCATCACCATTCCCGTCACAAAACCGCCCACCATCATCATCACCATCACCATCACCATTTCCGTCATCATCATCATCATCATCATCAGCATCGTCATCATCAGCATCACCATCACCCTCATCATCAGCATCAGCATCATCATCACCATCATCACCGTCAACATCACCATCGCCATCACCATCATCGCCATCACCACCATCATCACCATCATCACCACCATCAGCATTACCATCACCATCATCATCACCGTCACCATCACCACCATCATCAGCATGGTCAACATCAGCATCACCATCATCATCAGCATCATCATACTCGTCGTCGTCATCATAATCACCATCATCATCGCCGTCCCACTACCTCCATTCTCCTCCTCCTCCTCCACCTCCTCCTCCTCCTCCTTCTCCTCTCCTCCTCCTCCACCTCCTCCTCCTCCTCCTCCTCCTGTCCCTCCTTTTCGGCCTTTCTCCTTCTCCGTCCCCCCCTCCTCCTCCCCCTCCTCGATTCCTCCTCCGCTACCCTCCACAGAGCAAACGCCCCGCCCCGCGAC